TTCAAGTGTGACACACATTTTCCATCAACTTGAGACAAAGAGCAAACACGTCTCAGCCTTTTTCACTTGCAGGGTAATAGGGAGTAGGATAGGGTCTGGAACTCATAACATACTACTGATTATTCCTTTCCTGATATTTAACACTTTTGACACTGAAGGTGGGTATAACTCAAGGTAGAAAGTTTTCTACTACCCCTCCCTGAATAAGTGGCTTTCTGCCTCTCATTAGAATGGAGTGTCTGTTGTTTGGTTTCATTTTAAAAGCCCTGTAGCACATGTTTTTCAAATATGCTATTTAATCTCTTTTCTTCATACCTCTATTCATGCAGATGGTCCCTAGATTAAGACTTTCATTTCCCCTGAAGGCATGTTTCCTCCCTGAACCACATGATCCCAGCCAAATACAAGGTTTTGAAGTCAGTTTCTGAGGTGTAGCAAACTTTATATGTAGCCCTCCCGTTTTCTTCCACTTTGATCTTGTTGTTTATGGAAATCTGAAGATGTTAAATTTACTTAAACCAGTCCTAAGCTCTACCTAGTGTCTTATTATGATTACTTGTCTTATATTTGAACTATTTTTTTTTTTCTGATTATCATCAAGACAATTATTTCAGATGCCTTCACTGGCTGTCTGGGCACAGGGTTTTTAGGCCTTTTTGGCCTTTCTATAACTGTGTTATTATACAAGGAAGAGCCCCAGATTAATCCTTTTGTCTGCTCATATTAGAATATTAAGTGATCTTTTTATATTCACTGATTAGAAATCTGTAGATATTTTTCTTTCCTCATTGTCATACACATTTACCTGCATAGGACATTTGAAAGGATGTCTGTATCATGAAGCGTTTGATGTTTGAATTGACATTGTTCCTTAAATGTGCTGACATTTAGAATATTTTAGTGTCTGTTAACAATTTGTTTACTTTGTTCAGGGAGGCACATCAAGATGGTACACTTTCACTGAAATAGTGTGTGATTCCATACTATCCTGGAACTGCCTTCTGCTTATCACTTAGCAAAATCTATTTTCAGTAGGTCCTGTCCTCTGTAATGCCTCTTTTGCCTTCAACATTCAGAATTAAGTATTCCATTCTCTACTGTAGCACACCTCTTTAGTCATAAGCATATATATCTTCTTCATAAGGGCTGTAAGGTTATTGAAATCAGTGAAAATGTTTTATTTGACTATTACATCTTCAAATAACATCATTTTACTTATCATATAATTTGATGAGGGTGAATATGTCAGTTCCTGGCTGGGACATGTATGGCATATACATGTTTTCCTTATGTTTTGGAAGTTCTCTCCAGGGAGTTTTGTTTCTTCCCACATCCCAAAGTTGTGCATTTTAGATTCATTTAGGTGTCTACATGGACCCAGTAGGAGTGAATTTGGGGGGTGGGGTGGGGACATGGTGTATGAACACGACCCCTTCCCGCTTTGTGCCCTGAGCTGCTGGGTTATGATCCAACCAACTGTGACCCTCCACTAAAATAAGCAGGTTGCAAAATGAATACAGATGATTGTTTAATATTAGAACTGTTTTATATCTTTATTTAGAAGTTTGTGAAGTTTCTGCAGTGTTTAGTCTGTGGTGGTAATTGGTTTAGTTACACATTTTGACTAAAGACAGTTGCCAAGAACCTTCTGACAGTTTTAAATGAGGACTTAACTACTCTACATACATGTTTCTTCTCTTTAAGTACCTCACATCTAATGAGCCAGTTATTTATGTTTTTGATAATACAAATTAAATCAGCAGGGTATGATAAAACTATTAGAATATATGAAATAGTGAGGTTAGACCTACTTATAATCCTACCATACCTATCAGATTGTAATTCTGGGAGCCAATCTTACAGGACATTGAGAAGAAAGAATATTCAGAACTGAGCAAGTTGGATTTCAAGGATGTTAATCAAATTTTAAGGAGCACCTACAGGGCCCCAGCCAGGGAGCTGACCCACATGTGTAGCAGCAGACCTCTCCTGTCTTACTTGCTGCTTCACCTCAGCAGTGTGTTTCAGTAAATCTACCTATTCTGCTCCCCTCTCTGTCTCTGGTGAATCTTAACCACCACCACCACCCCCACAAGCCACCCCCCACACACACACCTATGATCTACGCAAAAATAAGAAAAACCTTCACAGTGATTGCCATCTTCAGATTTGAAAAGTTTTCATGAGGAAAGGAAAAGTAGACCTCTACTCTGACTATAGCAGTTGAGTCAAGAATAATTGAAACCCCAAGGTTTCACAGCAGTATGCTGGGTGTTTAAGAAGTGTGTAAAATCTATTCATTACATTTTTTCACTCAATAAATACTTTTTCTCACTCAATAAATAATATTCATTGCATTTTTTTCACTCAATGAATAATTCATTTAATGCCCAAACTAATCATTCATCCAGGTCCATTAGTCATCTTTAATATTCTGTATTGGTGGCTGTATACTTGAGGCATTTGAAATCTCTTATCTACAGGTAATTTACAAAAAGTGTCTCCTCATATTTGCTTTGTTTTGCATTTTAGTACTAATTTAAAATTTAATAAAATAGTTACATGCATAATTGTGTTTTTACAGTGTAAAAAGTGTGATTTAAGAATCAGAAGGCTCAGATCTTAGGTTTGGCTGTCATTTGTTAGTCATTAGCTTCTCTGCAAAATAATTTTCTTAACCTTCATCAAGGGGTTAATATGAACCTCCTTGATCTCACATAAAGATTGTAAAAAGAAGGTAGAAGAAAAATGCTCTACAAATTAAAGCATTATTAGATTTGCTAAATTAAAAGTATTTGAGAATGTCAATTTTTATAGTTTTGGTAAATGTGAAATGTGTGCTGATAAAGACAAAACCAACTTTTTTTTCTTTAAAGATCTATTTATTTATCCATATAAGAATTTTGGGGAACACGTCAGGGGTAGGGTGGAGGGAATGAGGATTTACAAGCTAGAGTGGGGAACAGAACAGGAGGACTGACTGAAATTCACTGTCAAGAGGAGCAGTGGGCAAGTCAGGAGAGGTCTGCCATGCCATGTGGGTCAGCTTCCCTGGCCAGAAATCAAACTCTTACTGCACTGATTGCAGTTGCAGACAGCTTCAGAGTGGTGTGTTTTAACCTTTTGCACCACCAGGGAGGGCCCCAAGACTAACTCTTTTAAGGGAAAATAGTGTACTAGTCAACTATTTTTTATAAATTTATTCAGGGGCCATCCCTGGTGGCACAGCAGGTTAAAGCACAGCACTAAGAAGCTAAAGCCACTTCAGCATGAGTTTGATCCCCACCCCAGAGGTAATCCACTTGATGTGGCAGACCTCTCCTGACCCGCCCGCTGCTCCCCTCAGCAGTTACTTGGTCAGTCGGCCGGTTCTGCTCCCAACTCTGTCTCTGGGGAATCCTCTCACTGCCCCTGCATTTCTGGTCTGTATCCCAGTTTTGTATGCATAAATAAATAAACCTTAAAAAAATTATTCAGGAAGGTAGTTTTTTAAAATGTTAGTAATATAAGCAACAAATTGCTACTCTCATTTGTCACAAAGTATCAAATATTGTGCTAAGCATTTATAGCATATATTATTTCATTTAGCACTTTTAATAACCTTGGAGAAGTTTCCAGTCCTATCCAGATCTAAAATTTGGATTCCTGACCACCTATTTACTCACACTACTATAAACGAGGTCATATAGCAGTGAGGTTAAGCACCTGCTTGTCTGGATTTGAATCCTGGGTCTGCCACTGCAATAAATTTTACTTCAGCCAGGGTAGTTAACTTCTGTTAAATGAGGGTTACCTATTACAGATAGGACATAGATTAACAAGTATGAAGCTTTAGAACAGAGTCTGGCATATAAAAAATGTCTGGCCCATGTGATTGCCATCGTTTACAAATTATTAAAATTATGTAGCACATTAAAATAGGGTTGTTTTTTTTTTTTAAAGATTTATTTATTTATTCATACAGAACTGGGGTATAGGCCAGAGGCTCAGGGGCGGTGAGAGGATTCACCAGAGACATAGCGGGAAGCAGAACAGGCAGATCGACGAAGTACACTGCTGAGGGGAGCAGCGGGCGGGTCAGGAGAGGTCTGCCACACCATGTGGTCACCTCCGGGGCAGGCGGGAATCGAACTCATGTGGAAGTGGCTTTAGCTTCTTAGTGCAGTGTTTTAACCCGCTGCACCACCAGGGAGGGCCAAAATAGGGGTTTTTTTTTTAAAGATTTATTTATTTGTGCATACAGAAATGGGGTATAGGCCAGAGGCTCAGGGGCAGTGAGAGGCTTCACCAGATACAGAGTAGGGAAAAGAATAGGCAGATCGATGAAGTACACTGCTGTACTTCATGCGGGCAGGTCAGGAGAGGGCTGCCACACCATGTCACCTCCCGGGCAGGCGGGAATCGAACTCATGCGGAAGTAGCTTTAGATTCTCAGTGCTGTGCTTTAACCCGCTGCACCACCAGGGAGGGCCAAAATAGGGTTGTTGTTTTTTTAAGACTTATTTATGCATAAAAATCTGGGGTACAGGCCAGAGGTACAAGGGTGATAAGATTTATTATGTATATAGAGGTGCAGGGGTGATAAGAGGATTCACCAGAGACAGTGGGGAGCAGAACAGGCAGATCGATGAAGTACACTGCTGAGGGGAGCAGTGAGCGAGACAGGAGAGGTTTACTGGGCCAAGTGGGTCACCTCCGTGGAAGAGATGGAATTTGCACAAAAGCAGCTGTTACTAGCTTCACAGTCCTGCAGTTTAACCTGTTGTACCAACAGGGAGGCCCCATTAAAAATAGTTTACTGACTCAACTGATGACACAGATTTGGGTACATTTAGAGGAAATGTAGATTTTAATATATTCCCTACCTTGAACTTTCTCAGAGTCATTCAGCTTTTTTGTTTAGCATAGTGACTGCATGAAAATTATCTAAATTACCCATTCTTTTGACCACGAAACCATCAACTAATAGTTATTTTATGTTTTTTGTTTTGTTTTTTTAGGACATTTCTGATTCATTTGCATCCTTGAAAAGCATCTGTAGAAGAGGAAGGGAAAGATGGGTGTGAAAACATTTACTCATAGCTCCTCTTCCCACAGCCAGGAAATGCTTGGAAAGCTAAATATGCTGCGAAATGATGGACATTTTTGTGATATCACTATTCGTGTACAGGACAAAATCTTCCGGGCACACAAGGTGGTACTAGCAGCTTGCAGTGATTTCTTTCGCACCAAACTTGTAGGCCAACCAGAAGATGAGAACAAGAATGTGTTGGATTTGCATCATGTTACAGTGACTGGCTTTATACCCCTTTTAGAATATGCTTATACCGCCACCCTGTCAATTAACACAGAAAATATCATTGATGTTCTAGCTGCAGCCAGTTACATGCAAATGTTTAGCGTTGCTAGTACCTGCTCAGAGTTCATGAAATCAAGCATTTTATGGAATACACCCAACAGCCAACCAGAAAAGGGTCTAGATGCTGGGCAAGAAAATAACTCTAACTGCAATTTTACATCTCGTGATGGAAGCATTTCTCCAGTATCTTCAGAGTGCAGTGTGGTAGAAAGAACCATTCCTGTCTGCCGAGAATCCAGGAGAAAACGCAAAAGCTACATTGTTATGTCTCCTGAAAGTCCTGTTAAGTGTAACACTCAAACAAGTTCTCCCCAGGTACTGAATTCTTCAGCTCCTTACTCAGAAAATAGAAATCAACCTGTTGACTCTTCCTTAGCTTTTCCCTGGACTTTTCCTTTCGGAATTGATCGAAGAATCCAGCCTGATAAGGTTAAGCAGGCAGAAAATACTCGGACTTTAGAATTACCTGGCCCATCTGAGACAGGTAGAAGAATGACTGATTATGTGACTTGTGAGAGCACAAAACCTACCTTGCCTCTAGGTACTGAAGAAGATGTCCGAGTTAAAGTAGAAAGGTTAAGTGATGAGGAGGTCCATGAGGAAGTATCCCAACCTGTCAGTGCATCTCAGAGTTCACTGAGTGATCAGCAGACGGTGCCAGGAAGTGAACAAGTTCAAGAAGACCTTCTGATTAGTCCACAGTCTTCCTCTATAGGTATAACATCTTTTATGTTTTTCATGATGCTATAAAGTCAATTCAAGGATTTTTAAGTGCCTATTCAATTAACTTCTATAGGTCCTATGGGAAATATTAAGAAGATTAAACTATGGTAATTGGATTTTTTTTTAAATGCTATTAGTACTACCAGTTTTTTTGGGTTTTGGGGTTTTTTTCACAGCGTATATATTGGAAAGAAATACTGTGCTAACAAAACCTAATGAGACAAGGGCAGATGTATTGACATAAATATATGAATTGTGAATTACTTTCACTGAAACAAATATCAGTTAAAAAATCCAGTTAGTGTTTTATTCTTTATTAAAATATTTATTGATAACTTACCATGTGCCAAATACTGGAGCCATCTTATTTAAAAAGGCACATTCCCTGAATCTAAGGATATAATAGTTTGAGGAAGTGATGTATAAATCAATAATTAGTGCTAACCTAGAGTAATTAACCAAGTGTCAGGTTCATAAAGGAAAGAGCAAGTTAACACTGTATCTGAACTGGATCTTAATAAGTTTGCCTTGGCAAAGAAATGGCATTTCTTTGTGTGGAATAGCATTGAATGTTTGGTAAGCAATGAATTCAGTATCGAATGATGTGAATAAAACATGGATGCCTGAAAGTGAAGGAACTAACAGGAGATAAGGCAAAGTATGAAGCTTAGTACTTGTGAAGGGCCTTGCATTAGTTTCAGTTAGGATTGCGTTCAGTTGAATATAATGAAATCTCTTCAAAGTGACTTAGACTAATTTTTATTACAATATAACCAGTGACCTAGCCTCCTTATATATTTATATTCTACCATCCTTAATTTGTCTTTTTCACCCATATGTCTTGTGCATATGCTTCATGGTTATGATACTTTTTTCATCTTTAGCTTCACATTCTAGAATAGTTAACACTTATGTCAGCAAATCACAGATGTTCTCAGAAAGCCCTAAAATACTTCTGCCAAATTATGTCCTGTGGTCCTTCCTAGCTACAAGGGAGTCTTGGAAGATGTGCATATTACTTGTGTATGTATCTCCTCAAACAAAATTAGAGGATAATGGGTGTTGTATTCAATTAACAGTGTCTGCCACAACTTGGTTAAGTAAACTAATTGTAGTAAGGAATCCCCTTTTAGGAGTGAAAAATAAACATTTATAACCATTTTAGGAAAATTTATTAGACATTGGTACTCAGAGGGTTTGGCTTGACAGGAACTGTCAGAAAGCAGTTTCAGTACAGTTTTCTTTGTATGAATAAAGATGCTTACAGTGAAACCTTCAAAAATGAGTACTAAAAGATATTTTAAAGTAAGCCTCTATTACCTGATGATATGTAATTAGTGGAGTGAGGAAATAGACATCAGATTCCTCTGGATGACTAGGAAAATAGTGGTAACATTTTTAGTACATTCTGATGTATCTTACTATCTTTTATAAAGTGAAAGTCAGTGGAAGGAGGTGGGAACCCAGTTTTAAGAGCAAGGTGAATTATGCTTGGATGATAGTCAAGAACTGTCATGGCCAAAGAGCAGTTGAAAAAGCTGTATTTTTAAGACCAAAACTGAAGACTACCAATTCAGAGCTATTAGCCCTAACGAATTGACTCTCAACAGGAAAATTTCCAAACAGGCACCAAAATCAAAGGACTAAACCTTGAGAAATACCTATGTCAGACATTGGAGAACCATGAAGGCCATCTTACCTTTGTAAAATTTCTTGAATTTTGACTCTCCGAGTTTCCTAGTACTGCCACAACATAGTACCACAAACTAGGTGATTTAAATAAACAAATTTATTGTCTCACAGTTCAGACCAGATTCTAAAATCAAGGTGTTGGTTCCTTTAAAGACTGCAAGGAAGTTTCCTCCTTTGCCATGCCTCTTCCTAACTTCTGACAGTCGCTAACTCATCTTAATGTTTGACTTGTTATGGGGGAGGTAGCTGGATAAGGTTTTAAGAAATAATTTGATAGTTTTCTCAGTAGCAGTAATGAATAGATGCATTATTAAGGTACATAACTAGAAAAATGGTAAAATTATAACATTGGACATAGAAACAGTACAGCGTAATGATTAAAAGTTCAGAGGGCTGAAGTTAAACAAATCTAGATTCTGCTACTGGTGCCTTCCACTTAATAGATTATGATTTTGATCAAGTCACTTAACCTGAGTTCCTATAATCATAATGTAAGGAAAGTAATAGCTGTATATTATGTATGATAAGTATGTGAGTGCCCTCCAAGATAATGCCTATAGTTTTAATATCTGAAAATCTCCAGCAGTTACACAAATAAGCAGGATAAATTAGTATGCTAACCAGATACATGTAAATCCTATGTCTATTCAAGAAGTAGTATCTTATTGGTAGGCGTATTGGGAGTATACATGTTATTTATTACAACTGGAGTGAGACAATTTTATGTCCTTTAAAATAAATTATTTCAGTAGAATTGATCAGTTCCTGCAAGCCAGGCTGAAATGTACTCCAAAGAGAACAAGCTATCACAATCAGGACTGTTAGAAAGATACTTTCTGATTGGATAGTTTGTAACCAATAAGATTGTAGTGACTTCAACAGAAGCACTTTGATGATGTGAAGCCAAGATCCAGTTATTAATAAGGCTGAGTATTGTAATAGAATATGAGACTCTTAGAAAAAAAGAGTCTATCCTGAAATGTTTTCTTTAAAAGATTAATTTATTTATGCATACAAGAACTGGGGCCTAGGCCAGAAGTATAGTGAGTGAGAGGATTCACAAGAGACAGTGGGGAGCAGAACAGGTGGATCCACTCAGCAGAAATACATTGCTGAGAGGAGGGAGCAATGGGTGAGACAGGGAGCAATCTGTTGCGCCATGTGGGTCAGCTTCCTGGCTGGGGACCAAACTCATGTTATAGTGCCTGCCTATAGCTTGATAGCACTGAGACTTTAACCCGTGTGCCACCCAAGAGGCCCCTATTCTGAAATGTAAAGCAGATTTTTACATTTTTGTCAGCTAAATCAGATGGAAGATAGTACATCCAGCAATCTGTTCAGAGTAGTAGTAGCTAGTCTAAACAACATAGAAGAGTTTTGTTTTCCCTACTTAGGTGGCCAAAAACAATTGAATGGGGCCTCCCTGGTAGTGCAAGGGGTTAGAGTCCAATACTATGAAGCTATCGGCAATCACTGCAGCATGAGTTTGATCCCCTATGAGGGAAGTGACCTACATGGTGCATCATACATCTCCTCTATCACCCGCTGCTCCCCTCAGAAGTGTATTTCAGCCAGTCTGCCTATTCTGTTCCACTATATCTGGTGAATCCTCTCATCCCCCACACCTCTGGTCTGTACCCCAGTTCTTATGTGCCTAAATAAATCACTCTTTAAGAAAAAACAACAGTTGAATGAGGATGAGCAATGGTTCAGCTATAATAGGCAAAATTAGTAATAAAGGAATGGAAAACAGTCCTAAAATCAGAGTTGAGCTATCCACTTTTTAGGATAGTCTTCTGGAGAGTCCTCAGAATGCATACTTTACGGTCTTCAATGGAATGTGTGGATGTACAGTAGTCAGAAGGATGTGATGTTTGTCTTCTAAGTTGGGAAATACGAATTCAATGATCAACACACCTTGAAGTTTTATAGCTTAGTGAGTTGTTGATATCTAGTCAGTTCCTTTCTACTGCCATTCTGTGGAAAATTTTCTCTAGTGACATCTTTTCCACAAGAACAAAACTTCGTATTTTATTAGGTCATTTAGAAACTGCTTTGATGAATATTTTCAAAATATACCTACTTGTGGTAAAGCTGGAGGCAGCATATGAATCTCTTGAGAGCATTCAAGCAAAATTCCTGGTAACGTGGTAGAACCCAAGATTTAACTAAAATTCCCATTTACAAAGGTAGCTTATCATTATTAATCATAAGGAATTAGTGTGGGTCCCAGAGAGGAATTATATTACTCTCAAACTCTTGGCCATAGTTTGCGCTGTGAAAAATTGACTTTTTAAGGCTCTGGTAATCATAGTTTTTAAATTGTACTTGTTCTCTTTATTTTGAAATTTTTGAATAATAACAAAAAGAGTGGAGAGTCTGAGTAAAAGAGCTTTTTAATAACTATCAGGTAATAAGTACACCTGTTGTGTAGAACTGAGTTGGGATCTCCCTACTAAAGGAATACAAAGTAACTTTTTCCCCTATCATTGCAGCATAGCTGTTTAGCATTAGCTGTCTATGCTACTATATAGCATAGCTATATTTCTCAGTAGACTGAGAAAATCCCACTCTACTCAGAAAGCAAGCAGTATCAAGAACAAACTCATAGTTCATTTGGAGGTGTTTAATAGTGTGTTTCAGTGCTTCATTCCTATTCATATGTTAACCAAGGTTGTGTCATTGATAGAAAAGCCTTACATAGGAAGCATCATGGCAGTACCATGCAGTTGGAACAGTGGTAATAGACCTCAAAGGAACGTCTGGATAATTCCAGGAACTCCCTGCCAAATGGCCACTTGCAACGCCACATTGCCTTGATAAAATTTAATCAGTTTAGAGATGAGTATACAAGTTACAGTGAAAAAGGCATGAAGGAAGTAGATGCTGCACTGGAAGGGTGCAGTTTTAAATAGAGACAACCCATGGGAACTGCAACTATCCATCGAGAGTAATGCTTGTGTAACTTTTTATTTCTTATGCTTGGCTAAAAGCCATTTGTCAGCTATCAGACAAAGCCTCCTGATTCTGGGCATATTACTAAGCAGAGCATTTCTTGGGGATGAAAGGACAAAATTGAAGCACTCCTCATGAAGATTTTTTTTAACATCTTCAGTGAGATATGACTTACATATTGTAAAATCCAGTTAAAATGTACACTCCAGTGGTTTTTTAGTATTTCATAGAGTTGTACGACCATTTCCACAATCTTTGAAGTTTTAAAACATTTTCATCACCTCAGAAAGAAGACCTTTAACCCTTGGCAGTAAACCCTTTACTCCTTTCCTACTTTGTAGTCTC